TATAGTGCGTGTTGTATTCCCTCGACCTCACTTAGAAGAGAGGGGAGGTTCATCATCGCCAGGTTAAAAAGCAGAGGAGACAGGACTGCCCCTTGAGGTGTACCCCGCGTGCCTAATAAGTACGGGCCGTGTTCAGTAGAATTAAGGCGAATGAAGGCGGTGCGTTGTGATAGAAAGGCGCGAATGTAGTTGAAAGTCTTCTGCCCGCAGTTTGTGGTAGACAGGTTAGTGAGTATAGTGCTGTGTTTGACGTTGTCGAACGCCCCGCGGAGATCGAGAGCGAGCACGGCTTTATCGTTATGGCGCATAGTAGTCGGCTCTATGATATCGTGTTGAAGCTGGAGCAGGACGTCCTGTGCCGACAGATGCGGGCGAAAGCCAAACATCGTGTCGGCAAAGGTCCTCCTGGCCTCCAAGTAGGCGGAAAGGCGTTCGCGAACCATGGTTTCCATGAGTTTGCCTGCGCAAGACGTAAGTGAGATGGGTCTCAGTGCCTCAATACTAACGGACTTTGCCGACGTCGCGTCCAGGGGCCGTGCCCCGTCGCATTTTCGTAAGTGCAATTCGTAAATCAGAAAGCGTGTATGGGGCGTCGAGGTCGGTGTTAGGGGCGCCGGAATACGTATATGCTGCGTCGTTGTTTTTGTCGTCCTTTTGTTTTATAACCGAGGACAAAGGTGATTTGATATCGCGAACTCAGTTTCTATTCAGTGCTTGTAGAGGGAATGTATATGGCCTCAGTATATGTGGTCGGGGCCGTGTACGATTTTTCGCCTTATTGCTTTATCGTAAGCCGACTGCGAGGACACAATCTTACAGCAACGGAGGTAGGTCGGTTTGAAGAAATTAAGGTCAGACGTTGTTCGGACGCTGTTTGCAATAAAATATGACGTGGTAAAACTTGGTTTATCCCTTGTTGCTGCACTTTGCTTCTCTTCAAGCCTAACATACAGGCTTGTGCGGGGAGGGGGAGAGCACCTACTAATTTCTGGCAATCCTACCAGCTTTCAATGCTTTTAAACAGTCCATCGTACAGATTCAGTTCCGAGGAACTAACTTTGCTGCAGGAAATTATATTACGGACAAAAGGAATATGTAGGGTATGAGAAACAGGCTAGCGGAGTTATGCGGTTCACAGAGAACACCGCGAGCTACCCGGTTGTTTGATATGCCTTCCCTGGCGTTATGGGTATACCGTCATATAATATAGCGCGGGCGAGCCTTGTACTAGAAGGCCTTTTAGCTGTCGTCTCTGATAAGGTCAATTTGCTTCAGTAATTCCGCGCAGACATTGAAGTCTGTTCACAGTGACATTGAGGTTCTTCCTCTCGTAAATATAGGCTCCCTAAATATCCACACTCCGCCAATGCGGTGGGTCAGAGAAACGAACTGTTTTAACGGTATTCTATACAAACTCGAGTCAAGAACATGTTTTTTCTGTTCTACAACACGGCGGCTAACTTCAAAAACAACCTTTCAGCTTTCACAACTTGTTATACAAAAAAACAACTCCTTCTCGTGGAAACCCACGCTGCCTTCATTATAAATGAGTGACCACTGAGAACCAACATAGCAGCCGGTCAAGTATGGTGGCCGTTTTAGCCAAATGTAAGCAATCATGATCGAAGTTGTCACCACGCTAAACATGAATGTGGCGCACACATGAAGGCCCACTAGATGGACCTAAAGAAAGGGGCTTTAGATGGACGATGCTGGTAGCAACACTTGAGGACGCAGAACTTAACCGGAGACCTAAAAACGTAACATAGCAGCGATTTACCCGTTTATTGCTCTGTGCAATGCATCAACAGTCAAATAATTAGCCCCTCACAGTACACGCATCGTTTATTTTTCTTTTTTTTTTACAAAAACGGCGAGCTGACTATGAAACAGAAAAATATCGTAACTGGACTAAACACCACAAGATGCCAGTGCCGGCTCCGCGGGTCCTGCTGCTGATGAAGCCGTCAAAGCTGTGGTTACCGGGTGTAAGCAAACGTTGGAAAGTCCTAAAGCTATCTACTGCCCGGATTTTATTGCGTTGTTGACAAATACCTGCTTCGGTACTCCGAGGTGTGTCAGTGGATTTTGTATGTCTTGAGATGCGTCGCCCAATGTAAGTACGAGTCAGACTCAGCGAAGCATGCATCACGTCACTAGCATGTTACACATAAACATTGCTACAGAACGGCAATGTTTTGATTTTAGTGCTTCCTGCGTCACTTCTCAACCCACTACTTTACAAATGATCGGAGAGAGAATGTCTCAGCCTCATGAAAAGTGTCACTTCATTTGAATGATGACGACGACAAGAACACGATCGCTGTTACCGCCGAGATCCGGAAAACTTGGCTCACTGATTTTCGCACTGCTCGCAGCTACTTCGTCCATCAAAGCACTAGCTAATAAACATAGTTTGAACATTGAGGAAATGAGCACTCGCAACACTCAACACAGCAGACCAAACAGAAGCGCTGACAACATAGCAGGAGCTGGCCACGGGCTGTCATGATCACCTGTTTGGTATTTGTTGACATGCAGACAGACTACGTCATGGGATCCCCGAGTGGTATCCGAAATCGAAACTACCTTCTGTCGCAACAAAGGCAGTTTCTATTAGCAGCATATCAATATTACGAGCATTTAAGTATACAATGGTAGCATATAATTTTATAATTATAATAATTACGAGCATATAAATGCGCACTCGTCTCGTTCTGGGGCAAATGAGTTTCCTTGCCTCAACTAACAAGTCAGTAGCTGTTGTTTAGGGCAAAAAACAGTGTTTCACAAATTTTCTTTCACCACTTCCTTAATTTACATTTTCACACCTCTTGCGAAGAGAGAGAGAAAAGACTTTTATGTGGTCCGGAAGAAAGAGGATGAGATGCATATACATCCAACTCCTGACTAGACCCATGTCAGGAAGGAATTTTTGTTTTTGTCAGTTATGATGCAGAAAGAAGTGTGGGCAATAAATACAGAGCCGGCTACTTAGCGCTTCTACGGACCGATCATATAACACACGAAATAAACAAACAAGCAGTAGTACTTGAAATGTAAACACGCAAACACGCATACTTTGTGAAACAACACAAGCACACATGTCAAACAGCGCAATCTTTCAGCGCTCGATCATTGAGGAGAGAAGGACGCTGCGAATAAACTTGACCGCCTTTCCCCTAGAGGGCATGCTCGACGCATATGTAAGCACGCTTCAACGAAGCACTATTGAACATAAGAAAAAGAACCGAGGCGCACACAAGACCGGCATATAGCTAGGGGGACATGCTTAGATTTCGAATGCCGAGAAGTTTCCTCCTATTAAGGTGAGTACGTGGGGCACGACCATTGTTGCACTCCACCTGCATTGGTGTACAGCTGCCACTATATCGAAATTGAACTTACGATATTCGTGTCAGCTGCAAGAGCGCACGTTGCAAAGTCAGCGCAGAAGAACCACATACGAACAGCCTAACCAGTGATTAATGTCTTTAGACATAGTGAATTCAGTGACCCATGTACACCCGCCTATGTCTTTTGCAATCGAATATCTACCAACTCATGTTGCCACAGCCACAGAAAAGAGCGTTACAGGCATATGCACGCACATTATGCTCGGTGTATAGATGTACGTACAGTACACCTGGCTGTGCATCGATGCGCGAGAAAACCACAACAGATGAATATGCGCCAAGTAGACCAACTGTTCCTGCTAGTTTGCAATGGGGATGGTGGTCGTTACAGTCCGCATCGGTGTGTAGCGTCGTGTTAAGGATCAGCTGCCGACCCGAAAGTATATAGGGTGGGAAGCCGGTCACGCTAATTGCATTTATTTTATGGCAAAGCGCTAGAGGCCAGCATACTGCGCGGTGTCACTGCAACTTAAAAGAACACCAGGTCAAAATTTCCGGAGCCCTCTCCTATGGAGATTTGGAGCCCTCTCCAAATGATGTCGTGGTTTCAGCAAGTAAGATTCTAGATGTTATGATAAGGGGGTAGGTGATCTCCATTGAACTCCCTTCGAAATATTGTGATGACAATTAGTAGTTATTTGCAGTCTTTTACGATCGCCTGTTTTCTGCTATACGTCTGATTGGTTATCTATTTATGTGAATACACTTTTCCTCCTTCACACAAGACTATACTAATATAATGTTGCATAAGGTTAGGTTCTACCAATCATTTTATTTTTGCACAAATCATCTAATGGTGTGTTGCTTATCAGAACCGCTGACCAGTCAATACTTTCATTCGCTTTATAAAAGTTCTTTCTTCCGGCTAATGACATCATCTGTCTGCAATCGGTCTCTCCAGCGTGTGTGTTAACTAACAATTCTCAAGCACGCGGTATTTAAAGGTGACGTAAACCTCGAGTCATGAACACAACTAAACTTGTCGTAAGGATCTCTATTTTTAAGCTAAAACTTTAGTGAAAAACAGCAGTACAAACGATAATAATTTGATAATTGAATAAATGCTGTAATTCCTTTGACAGACACGTAATTATCGTGCCATTGAAAGTTCATTCCCGAATAACAGAAAACACGTCAGCAAGTCTTCTTCGGACGAACAGAACAAGCAAGCATGGCGACTCCAGCTTTAAAATAAACGCGTGGAGAGGATACCTGCCTTACGAGACAGAAAGAGAGAGAGAAATGGTCGTAGTGCAATGCACGTCATTTACGGCGTCTCAGTGTGTGCTTTGCTGATCCCGACGTGAACGACTAAAACAGAGCAAAGAAAATGGCGCTCGGAGAGGAGCTAAAGAGTGTAAAGATTGAAAAGCGAAGATACGAAATCGAGAGAAGGATGGCATTGGACGAGAAGAAGGGTCGAAATTTCTGAAAGATTTACCGACGCAGCTGCAAATGACAACGTCGAGAGATGAAGAAGGGGAGAGGAGGAGGGGAAGCGCAAAGCCCCGCGCAGTGTTTGCGAAATCTCCGTGGTTGGCTGTCGCCGTCTTTTTCTCTCCCTTCGCTTATTCGACGGGCGGCTGAAACTCAGCTGCGCGTCTTCGCCAGTGCACTTGTTCTTTCACGCGGCACTAAGGACAGACGTCGTCTTCGAGTCAACGCGACTCATTTCTGAAGCAGCGAGCGCGTATTTGTGCGTTAGGGATCGGCTGCTGCGGCGACAAGAGAACCGCGCTGCCCGTCACAAACCGTTTAGCGTGTTCGCGCTGGCTCACTAAGCACGCGAAGCCACGACTCCGCTCCGAGAAGAAGAATGCGTCGTGCAGCCGGAAGTGCTCGAAGATTGCGGTTCCTGTAGTGTTTCGCCCTGGATGTCTTCATACGGCCACGGGTAGGACAGGAGTGGCTTTTTGATTGCGTCCGGGCTCGTGCGCGTGTGTGTGCTTTTGCTTTAAGGTGGGACAAGCTTCAGCTGTCCGCGCGGGTGAGAATTCCTCCAGTTACAACACCGCTTGGATCTTACTCCACAAGGTAAATAACAGCTACTTCTTTTTTTCACCACTGCTTGGTGCTGTCAGTGTTACGGTATCGCAGTACTAGAAACATGCTCGTCCCCGTTCAGAGTTCCGCTCGGTACAGAGATGCGTCCCGACATAATAAGACGACATTTCGGGCTGCTGCTACGCAGCCTGTAGGCGCTGGGCGTAGCTAGGATTTTATTTCGGGTGATGGAGAGAGAGAGAGAGAGTCCGGAACAATTGCACGTACGTCGGTCCGTGTGTTTTTATATGCGCAGGTTTGCATATTTCTATGCACAGAGCCGTGCTAAATGTTTTGGGAGGAGGGTTGCCACTGCTAGGCGCCTTTCCATTTATTGCCGTTTGTGGTTACTTCATTTTCATCCCGTGAACGTGCTTGCCTGCCCAGTTTTTCAAAGTGAATACTTAACTAGCTCAACTTTGCACCTCTATAGATACGATATCTCCACAGCTCCGTTGAGCGTTATCCTTCGGTTTTTTTTTTTACTTCAGCTCTCTGTTACTAAGTATAACCCTTCCACTCCTCCTTCCTTTTTTACGCCTGTGCTATGAGCGTTCATAGTTCAAGATCGCTGTTCAATACTTTTTTTCCGACTCACACAGTCAACACTTGTACTAAACCAATGGACGGGATTTGACATTTTCTCAGATTTATGCATATGCTCCCCAATCAAATTTGTATTGACCATGTAGTTCAGAACTGAGTGTCACAGGAATTCGCACCTACAAAGCATTTTTTTTTGAAATTTTGCTTTATAACACAATAAATTGGCAAAACAATCAGTCAATATATACGCAAGCAGTTATTCTATTTGAGCATATATTACGCTCTTAAAAAGGATCTTGAATGCAGACTCTCTTTCAAACCATACAAATGTTCATAACTTGGCTGGTTTGTATTTCCTTTATTGAAAAACCAACGCACCTGACTACCCTGTCATGAATCCTTTTTGGCGCTGATACCGCACATGACTGTCGTAACGCAAGGAAAGGCACGCTAGGCAGACGATGATTATAACTTATTTTATCTGAAGCAAAAGTTGTATATGTAGATTGGTCGACTGTTACATATGGCGTTCGTTTCTACAGTATTGATTCCCATGCCGGAAGTTGACAAAAAATGTACAAAAATTTACCTTGGCATTGAACAAAGTAAGGTAATTTTGCATATTCTTGGACTGTTCACGTAGCACTAAAATGAGCAGGAAGCCGTCTGGCGACTGGAGCATAGTTCGTGCTCCCCACCTCGACATGGCTCGTCATTTAGAAACTGTGGTATTTCTGCAAACATGGGTATATTAAAGTGTAGCAGGATGTTCCTGAAATAGATTATGCGCTCTGGACAGCTGTATAAAGTTGTTCGAGGGGGTGTGGCTTGATTGGAACGTTGCTCAATGTTTCATAGGTATCGTCCATTTGTTTTTTTCAATTCATATTTTTGTCTTAGCTGCATGACACCAACAAAACAGGTGAAAGCGAATTGTAAACACTCACCTACACACACGCAGGTTCAATTCGGAGCACACAGATAGTAATAACATTATGGCTGATTCGTATAATTGGTTGAACTGCATCCAATCCACAGCCCCTTTGGAATGGTTTCAAACAAGTGACAAACGCGTCAAGTTTACTTTCGTACTGCTGATACGCGTGCTCACGTCCCTCTTGAATCGCAGAAGATTACCAAAGTAGATACAATTTGTAGCGAAGGCTACATAGAAGTTATACGTTCAGAAAATCTCACCTTATCAGCTGCTCATGAGGCTTATCGCCATTTCTGTGAGGAGGAAACGCTTCCAGGAGAACAAAGAATAAAGCAGATGTGACGCAATAGCTGGTGAACAAGCGTCGTCTTTTTGTGTGCGGCCAGCGTGAATTTGTATCAAATTACATCTCATGGGCACTTATCGCTAAGATTCGCGCTAATTCAATCACCGGATAGTCCTCCACGAGTGCGCTTCAAGTCGACGCCAGCTAACCTAATACGAACTCCCGACTAGATAGTGGTAATTAGGTGCACTACCGGTCTCTTTGAATTCGTTTTAAGAGGAAAATATTTTTTAAACTTTTATTCGGCGTTCGTTTTATTTTTCGCATATTAATATAAAGCAAGCAGCAGCGTTTACTTATCATATTTGCTACGTTGCTTGTTTGATTCACACATACAAATGTTCTTTATATGTACAATGCTTGTGTTCTTCAGTGTTAGCACGAAGAAATGACGCCTAATCACGCCAAAATTAGGGCGTTCCAGTTTTATTCAGTGGTCACAATAACTCGAAATTTTTACACTGCACATAATGGTAATAAACACAAAAAGTCCGTAGACACTACTTGAGTTATGTTTTCTTTTTTTTCGCAGTATGCTCCGATAAATTACCGCTACGTATGCGAACGCAGACATGCGAACTGTAGCGTGATAGACAACTTGGTGATATACTCATCGATAGCGTGAATAAAAGTGGACACTGAGTGCTCAAGAAGGACACCAGTCTGCAGGATTACTGATGGATCAAAGTCAGCGAGCACTGCATTTCGAACCACTGCCTTTGTTTTTTATGAAGAACACATGAGTGACAAGGCGTACGTTTGTTGATACTGGCATCCTTGAACAGCACCTCATCTACGCAGTACCGACGAAAGCATCTGGCGTTAAATGTAATCCGCATCATTTGCGGCCTGTTAGACACTGCATGCACCCTATAAGACGTTCACTAACAATAAAACACACCTGACGATTTCGCGCACAGCAGAGAACGCAAGCAAGTGAGGAACGCTAAAATACGTGAGGGGGCGCGTCATCGCGGACGAATTTCACGACCGTGCCTTTCCATGTAGTGCGAGAGCTGCACTGGATAATATTATAATGGGCAGACTGCGCTGTAAAAATACATTTTTGGTAGTAATAAAAAACTCGTGAATCATTTGCTCATTACACTTACATAATATTTTTGGGAGAAAATGTCATTTATAAAACATAGGGATTGCTTTGACTTTGTATCGAACTCGGTTTTTCAATACCAGTGTTTGTTTTCTCCGCTCATATTCGCGCATCAATAGCGTCCCCCATAACTACCCAAGCTGGTGTCACTGGCTATAGCTTCTGAACTGCTTTTCTCCAGAACTTTCGCGACCTATATCAATAGACCTTGATATGACATTCTGCAGTGAGGTGGTTGATATTTGCTTAATGCAAGAATAATTCAGCGGGACGGTTGATTCTTGCGCATCCCTGAACCAACCCAAGCAAACCCCACTTGAATGTACTCTTCGCTTCGGCATAGTACAAATCAAAGCAGACTAAAGTGGCCTGCCTCCATCTGGACAGCAAATGAAGCGGTAAATAAGTGACTATTTAACAGCCCAGAAATAACAGTGTCAAAATTCATTAATACAGTGCGAAAGCTGCAATTTTTTCATGCATGTCGAACAGTTCAACGTTTTTAAAAATACGTTTCTCAAGCACACTTGATCACACTACGCCATGAGTCATGTGGTGTGCATGTACTAAATATTGAAGCTCCTTGCTATAGTACCGTGTAACTACGTGCAACTCATATGATGCGAAAGCATAATTACATTAAATAGCAGGGTACTTACTAAAATTACAGTAATAGCTGGAGCGGCTTTACTTGCCTCAACCATAATATGACAATGAGGATCGCCGTAATGGGGGCCTCCATAATTTTTAACCATCTAGTATTATAAACCGTGCCATTGTGAAGGACACGGACCTCTACATGTAATCTTCATCATAACGCGAATGCCACCACCCGAGATCCAACACGCAACACTCGAGTCAACAGTCGAGCACGGCCCTCACAGAAAGCCCAAAAAATATTATGTTCTTTGTTAAAGGTTGTCAAAATTAGGCATTGGATTGGATTGGATAAACTTTTATTTGGTCCTCCAAAACACAGATCACTGTGTTGCGGGCAGTTCCCACGTGGGGAGTGAGATGCCAAGAGGCATGCACATCTTTAACTATGCGCTCTCTGCCTGTGAAAACTACGTTTTCTACGAGGTTCTTACATGACGTAGTTGAAGCAAAAGCCGTATTTCGTCGCTGCACTTGACGATCGGACGAAGTATGTCTAGTATGTCTAAATTATGAACGAAGCAACTTGATTAGCCACGCACTCGTCATTATAAAAAGTCATTTAAACATGGGGAAATATTAACACCTGGTCACGAGGGATAGGATAATAAAAACTCGAGAAGCATATGGTGTTAGAATTTCTTCGTGGGGATGAATAAAATGTTTCATATACCATAAAAAAAGTCACAGCTTTGCCACAAAGGCGAAACAATGAACGCGATGGAAACAAATTGGAAGGTCACACGCAGATTGGAAAGCATACCGAAACGTGCCCCGCGTTTCTCACGCACAAATGACGCACAAAACGTACTCACAGGTACAGATGAACGCGAATAAGCGTCACAGTCATTACTACGCCGTGCCTGAAAATCGCGCTCTTTTAGCAAACTAGGAACGTCACTGCAGTGACCTTTGTGCGCCTGCTGGCTACAACTAAATCGTTCCAAGTACAGGTTGAAGCCAACCAAGACGTACGACGTTCCCCTCGAGCTCCCCACCACGAGATAACAGCACGCGAGGGAGTGTCGCTCCCCTACTCTAAGTGACCCTAAATAAGCGTGGGAGATTACAACGTGCGCCGCCACGCAATGTGGTGGCTGCCCTCAATGTGCCATGTTGTTGTTAATGCTGAAAATATGATACCCCCCCACCCCAAGTGCCCGTCAGCAGCGGTAAGTGGTAGATATAAATAGCTTGCCGTTTGAGCGGTGAAGGATGTGCTCCTCGGTGGCTCAGTGCTTAACTCCTCGCACTTAACGATTCAGAGCGCTCGATTTTGATTCCACGCGCCGGAGTGTTTTTCTGGGTTTTTATTTTTTTCTTGCATTATTATACGTATTGATACGTATGCATATACGGTGAGTGATGGGGACACCGACTTCGGCGGTAAAATC